GTGTGTGTGTGTGTGTGTGTGTGTGTGTGTGTGTGTGTGTGTGTGTGTGTGAAAAGTTGACAAAAGTTGACATGGGGTGGCATATTTTCTCACAATCACAAATATGATCAAAACACCAACATATTTTTAAAAAGCAACAAAAAACAAACATAAGATGCTGGTTTAGAGCAAGAGTGCAACAGTGTGAAAGAGTCAAAGAAGCAGACAATGCCAGTGCAAACAGGAGTAGGCAGTAGGAGCAACATGTCGCAATTTAAAAAAAGATCATACATAAGTAGTAATAGATGAGTATGGAATTTAAAAAAAACAAACTTTTTGTCCAAATCAAATGAAAACAGGAAATAACTATTAATAAATTATATAAATGATCACATTATATAGGCCCTACATACTTTGAGCTAAAATTGTAGACAAAATATAATAATGTTGGACAACAAAGCCAATTGTCCGGACCTATCTGAAAGCATTTCCATAACGTCAGGGGTACACAAGCATCTATCCCATTCTTGAAATTAGAAAAAACATTTATAAAACAAACCCAAAAACGTAAGTAGGCCTACATGTTAGGTAATTGTCTGGTTGTTAGATTTTGGGTACATTCCAAACCCAAAAACATAGGTACATGTGTGTAAAACTGTAATTATTGGATTTAGATTTGGGTAATTTTTTACCCTGAGGGCTTTTCGGTAGGCAATGAGTATTAAACCATGGTTACAAATTTGTGAAAATGAGAGTAATGAGGAGAGTATCTTTTCCCATTTCAGGAAGAAATATAATATATCAATTGAATCTAGTTGTTGGATTTCGTCATAGCTCACTGCCCTTCAAGACATGTAGTATGTAGTTCGTTTCAAATGTTAAACACTTTATCTTGAAAAAATACTAAGTAAGATCGGTATCAGCAGATTTGTGCCTTCACAACATAGTCACTGGTTAAGATTTAGGTTATTTTGAATGGAAGGTCAGTACATGTTCTACGTCAAATCTCAAAGAACTGTACATTCTTCATTGGTTAATGAATTTCTTGAATTCTAAAAACTATCCTATCTCAAAATGACCAGTCTAGGATGGTTGGCTGCCTAAAAAAAGTAACTACGGTTCAGAGAGTGAATTGGACCACTGTAGGAGAAGCTTATTACTGGGAGAGCGTCCTCCATGATATGAAACTTTTCTCAAAAACCCATAACCCTCAATGAATCTGGATACCAAACAGATCTTGGGACAGAAGTCACAGCACTGAATATCCATCCAGATTCGAGAAATTTTCAGTTCATATAAAACCAGCATACAACCATTGTGTTCTGACCACTAGGCCTACATGTACCTAACCTGCTTTTCTTAGTAAAGAAAACCACCATAACAAACCAGTCTACTACTGAGGGGGGTTTATCGGTGATAAACTAGTGACTCCCAAATATTCATGTGATGGTCTGATTCATTTGGCAACAGGAAAACCTTATTCTTATAATAAAATCGTTAACAAAAAGAAAAAAACCCAATTGAACACAAACTTAAGTTGTGTAAATTTATATAGGTTCAATTCTGAACCAATTCTCAATCAGGAACAGTATCTGCCGTCGTAAGGGAAAACGACGAATGGTAAAATTTTTTTCGATTTTTGTATTTTTACATATATTTCATAGAGTATTTAATTCTGCATCTGATGGTGTAAAAATTTTAGTCATATCTTAATCCGTTGTTGCGTAATTGAGAGTTCGTCGTTTTCCCTTACACTGGCGAGCTCCGAGCCAGAGCTCAGTGTGTGTAAGGGAGAACGACGAATGGTCGATCGGTCAAGGATCACTGCTCTTTCAGCATTGTCCCCTGGTCTCTGCCGTTGGGCAAATTCGGCATGGACGACGAATGACAAGTGGTCACTGTTACGTCAGTACAAACATATTAGGCTTTTTTAGCAAATAAACATACCACCACCCCCTCCCCCGGAGTACCGTCGATGGTTTATAAGAATGTATCACTTAGTGTGTCTTTCTGTCTGTCTTCACGTATTAGGCCTATGCTGATGTGTGAATTGACAAGAGCAGGCGGGAGAGAGGGGAAAAACGGATGGGAACAGGGGGAAAGGGGTGGGGATGGGACGGTCAAAACAGTATTTAGGGAGAGATTTATTAGCACTGCATATTAGTGTCCGCCAGATGTTCACAGACTAACGTCATGTTACTTTGCTGTCCAGTCATTTGACATCCCAAATCACAACGATGATTATAGTGCCGCAATTTGTCCAGCACGTGTCACAGGTCGACATCATTATAGAATTACCAAGCAATTAATGACACTGGGTTATGAGAGTAAATTTCTTTGTCCAACTTAAAAAATGGAGGTATGGTGGCGACACTTAGTCTTGCTTTACGATTTTTTTATGACTTGATGGACGTTACGATCGAGTATAATAATGTCATGCAGATTCAAACCGTTCCAGTCGATCTCTACTTTGTGGTATGTTTTCCGATCCGATCAACTGAATCCTTTATTAAATACAAAGCGTCCCATTACCTCTCCCGAAAGCGTGTGTGATACAGTCTTGTCAGACTGTTACATTCTTACTTGAAAGTTTGACTTTGCAATGATCTGATCGTATTATTGACATTGTAACATTGTTGATCCCTTAGGTCGTGCAGGGAAAAATTTGCAATTAGCGAAAATAAAAGTAAAACTCGCTTCTGAAGAGAATACAGTAAAGAGATATCATGGAAACCAAACTTTGGTTCCGAATGAGACAGTTTTAAATCAAGCTGCTGAAAATGTGTGCACATCTGATTTGTACACTGACTGTGTATTTTAACCAAGGAAGGGAAACGAAGGACGTTTACCGAGTTACAGTTGGGATATAACAAAAACCTAACTTTATACGCATAATAGCTAGTTTGTATTCGTCTTATTTTTATTTGTAGTAACCAGTACACAGTCATTACTGTCAATAATGCATCACAACTGACCATCGCCTACACCCATAAACGTTCATGAGTGTAAGGGAGAACGACAAACCGTACTATTCGTCGTTTTCACTTACATCGCAAGGCTCACCTGCGGGTGCGCAGTGTAAGGGAGAACGACGAATGTCGAATAACTTTGCTACTTTTTAACCTAAACCATTCAAACTTTAGAAACTGCTTTAGGAACATCTCAATCAAATATCTGGTAAATTACAGCTTAAAAGAGTGGAAAATAGAAGAATTATAAAGTGAAACAAGTTTTTGCCTCTCCTGAAAAATTTGCCTCACTACCTGCCTATGACCATTCGTCGTTTTCCCTTACGACGGCAGGTATCTCTATTGGTTCATTTATTATGGAGAAGACAACAAGTTACAAGTGAGTATAACTGTAAAAATTCCAAATCAGTAGTAACAAACAGTGCAATGTACAAATCAACATAGAGATATTTTCTACAACTTGGTCAAAATTAAGACCATGATAAACACAAAAACATTGTAATCTGGCCTGATATAGCATTTCAAGCACCCTCAGTTCAAGAGCAAAGCCAATCACTGAGTGATAAAAAGATTCAAATTGAAGCGCAATTCAGCGCACTACAGCCCCAGCACAATTGATTATGCTTTGTTATCAGGACAGACCTGGAAAAGGGGAAAAGGGCTTCTAAAGAAAAACTGTGCCACTGTAGAGTAGAGTGCAGGCGAAATGTATCAGTAGAGATAAAACAATAGGCCTACCTGTCAAATTAAAAGGCCAAGGTTCAGACAAGGAAACAAATTAGTAGAATACGTAGAGAGTGAAGGGAAGGCTCTAACACAGGATCACCTTGAGGAGGAGAGGCCTCCAGGGAAAGCAAGATACATAAATATATATTATACAAGGCTACCAAACTAAAATGTAGCAACAAATTTAGGGCTCAGGAAAAGGCAAATAAAGCAATGTAATTGTAATGTTAGCTTTTTTAAAAACTGTAGAAGTCGAAGTGAGGGTGAAAGAGGGAGAGAGGGAAAGGAGAGTGGGAAAGAGAGAGAGAGAGAGAGAGAGAGAGAGAGAGAGAGAGAGAGAGAGAGAGAACATTTTTTTGTATTATTGTGAAACACATTGAGCAAATTATGCACTATATAATTAGAATGTATAACTTATTAAGTTATTAATTCAGGAAGCCGCAAAGAAAGATACAAGAATGTAACAGACAACATACACAGTGCTATACAAAAAAGCTCAACAACTGAAACTAGGTCATAACAACAGGCTGGATGCATGCAGACGCTTAATAAGTAAACGAAGCTAAGGACTGGCCAGTCAGAGACTTGCGAACACAACATAAGTACAGCAACATCTGTTGGTGGAAGTCCATGAGTACATAACATTTGTTGGCGGAAGTTAAGGAGTACAGAACATCTGTTGGTGGAAGTTAATGACTACTACAGAACACATGTTTGAGGAAAGTCCATAACATGACTATAGAACATCTTGCGGAGGTCCAATACAAGCCTGACACAGAGAAGCTGTATGGTCAGAGCTAATAACTCTCTACTGGCAACTTGAAGGTGCTTTCACAGATGTTTGCATTTGTGAGGATGTCCGGAGTCACATGAAGAAAAAATTACCCCCAAAAAATCCCACCGAAACTTATCATTCTTACTTTCGTCACTAAAAGATTTAACCAGTACTGCACTAGTGCTTGTTCTCAACAAAACATAGATGAACAATCACTCCCTGTCCTCCACACAAATCATGTATTTCAAGGTCAAGTACAAAAGACAATTATTATGCAAGTTTATTTGTAATACTATGTGTGTATAATACAATCAGTACTGGTAGTATTAGTATTATTGCAGAATACAATAAATTGGATTTTAATAAGGCAGCTCAAAATAAAAAAAGGCAAATTGACAAGACTTTGGTGAAGTATGGCTGCATATAAGCCCGGCAACAATATGACACTTGTAAACACCCCGATATGACAGAAAAAGGAGCTTTAAAAAGCATGATAAAACACACAAATGTGGGTCAATTATAATGCTAGCACATGTTTTATGGAGCACTGAATAGCAACATAAAAATGTTTTCTTTTGCCAGCATTAACAAACAAGGAATACACGTCTAATGCTAAAAAGGCTTTATAGTGACCTCAAACAATTCATCATCTTTTACAAAGTCAAGAATATTTGAGTGTTCATCTACAACACTATCCAAGAGTGTTATGCCATTTCTTGAGAGCAGGTTTCTCAAGTCTTCTGGAGTCTGCTTGAAGGGGTCAACAATACAGACCATGGGGTCAAAACAAACTAATTTTGGTTTCAGATCTACAGACTCTTTTTGTTTTTTCCTGTCTTTCACCATTGCATTGTCTTCTTCTCTGTGCATTTTCTTAATATGGCATGTAACACCTGCTTTTTGATGGGCATCAGCTCCACAAAGGGAGCAAAAATACCTCCGTTCATCCATATGTGAAGCAGTATGCTGAGCCAAATCATTCATACTGACTGCAATGTAGCCACATTTAGAGCACAATAGTAATCCATCAGTCGAAGTGAGAACAGACAGTTTGGAGAACCCTCCGTGTTTGGCCAGGTGCAGTCTGAAGAAGAATTCTGTACTCAGGATGGCATCACACAAATGGCAGCTGTAGCGGGTAGGTGGGCTGTGTGCTGGTACATGAGTAGTATCTTTGGAGAAGAGATCAAAACATAAAATTCAAGCTAGTACAAAGAGAATCCTAAGAATTAAGTGGCAGGATAGAATAAGAAATGAAGAGCTGTGGGAAAGGACAGGACAAAAGGATAGAAGTAGAAATAGGACTAAGAAAGTGGCGATGGATGGGACACACCCTCAGAAAGCCCAGCGGAAACATCACAAGACATTCGCTGCAGTGGAACCCATAGGGAGCAAGAGGCAGGGGGCGGCCACTGGAAACATGGAAGAAATGTGTGGAAAGGGACATGAGAGAGACGAAGCTCACTTGGAACGACAGCCCAGGACAGAGATACAATACATGGAAGGAGCTTGTACGTGTGACCTATACCCTGCCAGGGATTTAAGGCATTAATGATTATGACAAAGAGAGACATTTTAGAGAGCAAGAAACTTCTCTGAACCTGAATCAGAAATGTGAAAAAACCCATAAGTTCTTTAAAAAAAGTTTTAGTAGAGGTTTTACGGTGCTCGCAACTGCATAAGGTCATATGAGCGCCAAGGGTGGATGTCAACAGAAAAGTCCTAACAAGGAATCAGGCTTACTCTGCTCACCTCTCTAGCTTCAACAGCACAAAGTCTGCTTCGACTATCAAGGCACCCTGGCAATAGCAGCTCACAAGAGAGTGACAAACATACAAAAGAAGTAGAGGATAAATGACGATAGTAAGGATTAGGAAAGAAAAAGCAGAAGTTCCCTGTTGCAGTTGAGGCACAGTTATGAGCATGACATTGATGAATTAGCCCATTTACAATTCTACTGTGCATAAGAACATGATAATGTCCCCCCTTTGGGAATGGTCTAATTGCTAAAGACACTTCAGTCAGTTGCACCGGCCCGGGGAGTACCATAAGTTCTAAGCTTTTAATCCCTTTATGAATTTTAGAGTTTTCGGTGGTGAAAGAATGTCCCTGTTTAAGCGTTATAAAAAGAGAATGGCATCCCTTTTTCTCATGAATTAAATAACCACAAAAAACAACAACAAAAAACCCCACAGCTGACTCACTTTTCTTTCAGAAAATGTACAGGACATTTTAACTAGAATGTCGTGTTTAAAAAAGTGTGCAATAGCATGCACCTTTTCAAACATAACATAAGGACCATTTAACAAGTACGTAATCCAAGAAATAAAAGGCACCTAAAGCTGCATTCATACTGAAATGCTTGGTTATATCCCATAATTTCGTCAAAAACCTCGACTAAAGTTTTCCATTTTTCCAATTTCCAACAAAGAATGTTGGATTATCCCAAGATTTTAGAGTCTCATTAACAAGTTTACCACTTTGGTCTAGTCGTGCAAGTGTAGGGGGATGCCATCAGTTTTACTTTAATAAAACTACTGGAAAGGGCAGTTCAACACAAACAAAAGACAATGAAATATAATAGGTAAATAATACAATGCAAAATTCGTATAAATTTTGTTCATAGTTGCAAAGCCAAAATAAAATTGTACAAAAACGTATAAGTTAAATTATAATATGAGTTAATAGACATGCTACACAAAATACAGTAAAACTGGTTTACACTTTGTAAACAATTTAAATTTAACTTGAGCAACAGCTTTCCACCAACACGTAACATTGAATCCCTCTTAATTCTTTCCAAAGATTCTTGTACTGCTCAACAGTAACAAACTCCCAAGTTTTGATTGAAGCTTTCACGTACACAAGAACTTGAGAAAACAGATGCTAGCAAAACAAACCTGTGCAATAGTTCAGTCATACAGCCTGGCAAACGTACACAAAAATGTGTCATGATAAACGACATACCTTGAGAAACAGTAACGGTATCCGATTCAGTCTGGTCTGTCAAACTTGACACAGGCATGTTAGCACATGCATCACTCTCTGCCAGTTCATTATTCAAAAGAAACTCTTCAGTCTTGTTGAAGCTGAAACAAACCATACAAATTAGCCAGTAAAACACAGCACTTGATTTTGAACACTTACAATTTCATTCAGAATGAAAACTTAGGAAATAAGCTTCTATTGCATTGTCCACAACAATCTTATTCAACCCAAATCAGATTGGTTCACCTCAAGCAAATATGTAGCCTTTTAACTTCACAGAGGCCTGACTCCTCAAACAGAAACCCATTCAATACAATACAACATCTATACAGCACGGAAGCTTTAATAATATCATTATCATTATTATCATCGTTATAATTGTCATTATTGTTCTACTCTATTCTGTTGAAATAAATCTGTGTTGTGTTTTAACACTTTCATTTGTCAAAACTCTGAGAATGAATGATTATTATATTGTGGAAAAAGGTACTTCAGTGCAAAAAGCTCTCTACAAGGTAAGATCCAATGATATCTAAACATAGTATCAATATCAGGTCTAAGTACAAGAACAGTGTGCAACAATACATCGAAAATTAAAAAGCTTCCCAACAAAATGTTTAAGAAATATTTTACTAATAAAATGGAATTAATTTATTACAAATAATGATGAGTTGGAAAGAGCTGGACTTGAAGATATATTAACACGACCATAAAAAGGAGAAGATGGAGACATTTAGGACATGATGTTTTAAGAATGCCGAAGACAAGATTGCCCTATCAGACATGGTACTGGAGACCAACTGGAACAAAAAAATAGGAAGATCAACTGGAAGCTATAGAAGCACAATAAGGGATGAGGCAATCACCCAAGGCTTGGATGTGCCGAAATTGGAGAATGTGGCCAGGGACAAGCAAGCGTGGCATCGACTGCTCTCCGCCATATGTACCCGACAGTACAGGGAGAGAGAGAGAGTAAGCAAGTAAGTAGGAACAGTGTGCAAGCTTCTTCTACTTCTCTTCTTTGCGTTCCCCCCATCTAGATCTCAGGGGTAGTCAACTGCTGGTTCTTCAACCTGCAGTACAACTGATTTTTACGTACATGATCGTTATTGAGAAAGTGGAGGCGAAAGCAGGTGACATTTGTTTATCTATATATTTTTTTTTATAGTAAAGGCTTTTACGGCGCTCGCAACTGCATTAGGTCATATGAGCGCCATGGGGTGGGTGTCAACAGAGAAGTCTTTACAGGGAATCAGACTTATTCTGCTCACCTCTCTAGCTTCAACAGCAAAAAGTCTGCTTCGACTATCAAGGCACCCCGGCAATAGCAGCTCACAAGAGAGTGACAAACATACAAAAGAAGTAGAGGATAAATGACAATAGTAAGGATTAGGAAAGAAAAAGCAGAAGTTCCCTGTTGCAGTTGAGGCACAGTTATGAGCGTGACATGAATCAGCCCATTTACAATTCTACTGTGCTTGAACGAGAAATGTCCACCCTTTGGGAACGGCCCAAAGACACTACAGTCAGTGGCACTACCCCGGGGGGCACATTTGTATCTATTTCCAAATTCTCATTAATTCAGAGTGCCAAGAAGTGCTAGGTTTTTCACCATATAAGGCTATAGAAAGAAAGGAACTTAAGGGGAAGGTGCTTGAAAAATCGGGCTCTTTCTAATTTGCCATATATATATACATATGTGTACAATGTTTGCTGTGATAACTGTCTTCAGTGTAATTGAGGGTAATAGATAGGGAGTTCACTGGACAAAAACATCATTCCTGGGCAACCGAGAGGAATATTATGTAAAGGTTGTTTTTTTCACACTATTTTTATGGAATACGTAAACTGTCTCAATACATAAGATTTTAGTACTAAAAATATTAAGGCCTCCACAATTTTTGACCTATGGGGTTCAAATTTTGCACGATGTCTTTACATTGCAACATTTTGCCACATTACATAAGCACAGTTTTTTGTGTCATTTTTTATACACCCCCCCCCCCCCTTAACATTTTTGCTTTTTTCCGATACAGCACACAAAATAAGCTGCTAAAATAAAACTAATTGAAATATGCAGTTTCCTTGTTGACAAGCTTTGTATTGTGGTAGTTGATGATCAATGATCTTACTAAATAACAAAGAAATTGTTTGAAAAATGAAAAAGCCATAGGATTTTCTGTCCTAAATTTTGAGGTAACTGTTACATGATATAAATCTAAGCTGACGATGAATGATGATTTCATTATATTCAAGCATTTGACCATTTCCTATGAACATGCCGAACACAGTGATAACACAAGACATTACTAAATGTATACGGGTATATGGGGTATCTAAAGAGATCTGAATTTCTTCAGTAGCACCTTCCCTTAAAGCTACTAAGATACATTTAACACAAGAGCAAAGGCTACCTCTAAAATTATAGTAATGAAGACTTTCTGAGCAGGAGTGGAGATATTACGAAAAACTTGCACACATGTTACATACCTTTTGCCATTTTGAGTTGAAGGGCTCTCTGACTGGTCTTTATCATCTGATGCTGTCCCAGCAGGTAGCTCATTAGTCATGGGTGTATCAGCAGAAGACTTGCTGAGAACAGGATTCAACTGTCTACCAATGCCTTGAAATGGCAGTGTACGATGCAACAAGCCCATATGGGTCTTCAATGTTTTAAAACACTTGAAGTGTGCATGGCATATATTACAAACAATTTCAGACACAGGCACCTCTGTCATTTGTTTTTCACTCTTACTGGAAGCTTCGATATCATCTTTGTCAGTTGTTAAATCAATGCATATTTCATTTTCACTTTCAGAAGGCAGTTTATTGCCCATGAAGGTCAGTTCTTTACTCGGAAATTTGCCTTTCTTCAGCCCCACGTATTTTTTAAGGCATCTTCGTTTCACAGTTTTGATACCAACAGCATCTGTTTCATTTTGGTTCATATTTCTCTTTTGACCCTTTTGCACTAACAAGCCTTCTGTTTCCAAGGTCAATATTGGCTTACTCTTTGCGTCACACACATCAACAAACACTGAAGATGGAGAGAGTTTATCCACCTTGCTTCCATCATCTTGGTGGGCAAATTTCATATGGTTATATAAATGGCTCAAGATGAAATATGGAAATTTACAGTAGCTGCACTCAAAAAATTTATGCTTCTCGTCTATGTGTTTTTGCATGGCATTATCATCCCATTTTTCATATTCAACAGGACACAGCCGACATTTATATCGCTCTCTGGACTCCTCAATATTTTGTTCTTGAGTACTGACTTTCTTCACTTTAGCTAAAGTTCCTTCATGGTCATGCCTTGCATGTCTTTGAGCTACAGTGTAAGAATATGATTTGTACGTGCAGTGAGTGCACATAAACAACACAGTACTTTTACTTGAAGAATGACTTTCAATCAAACCAGTTGAACTTTGAATGTCTTGGTGTGAATTCTGTGGCACATTGTCAACTGAAGTATGCATAGAATTAACTTGCTTTTCATTGGAATCATAGTTTTCATTTAAAACTTGTGATGACAAACTGGTTTCTTCAACCTGACACTCCGACACCACAGGAATGCTTGGCTCTGTGTTCGCACAGACCTTATTCTGTTTGGAAGCACTACTACTGCTCAAAGGGTGCAGGTGATCGGAGGCTTTTCGTTTTTCACTCAGACAACTGTGACTGGTACTCTTTTCTGCTATCACTTCAAGACACAGCTTTTCTGTTGCCTGGTCAGTCTTATCTCCTGCACATTCTTTTTCCACACATACTTGAGCTTGACCTCTTTTTTCATCACTCTCCTGCGACTCAGAACACAGCATCTCAACATGTTCTTCCTGAGCTTTCTCCGCATGAACATTGACAGCAGTGAAGGGTTTGCAAATATTTCGAAAATTATCAATGTTCAGTTTCTGACTTTGAAGAGTATTGGACAAGTAGGGCCAGTCAACCTGATGGAAAAGCTTTTCCTCGGCATCTTCCCCAGGGTGCATCTTTTTTATGTGGTTTGTAATAAGTTTTGGATGTGCATCTTTGTAGAGGCAGTGTGGGCACAAAGCTATTGCAATTCCTCCTACACACCATAAAACATGGCAGTGGATGATCTTCAGACCTTTGAATCGTTTTGTGCATTTTTTGCAAGTATATTTTCCATTTCTGTCAGTAGCGTAAAGACTGTCCAGACAGTCCAGTGCTTCAGTGCCACAAGTATCGTACAACCTAAGCAGCTGAACCTCACCTTGTCTTTTGTCCTTATCATGAGGCACGGGCACATCTGGTTGTTCCAATGTCTCCACGACTTCTGTATTCAAAACAAGCTGTTTGGTTTTCTCAGGTAACTTACTTGACGGTCTATGTACAGAGTTACTAAAAGCAGCCAAAATGTCTGAGCCTATTCTTTCAAATAAATTATCTGAAGCAGAAGTCCTTTGCGACAGAGATGAATTCATCACCTTCCCACTAGCAACAGACTTTTCATTTTCAGCACTGTTCAGCCTATCCCTAGCTGAAGGAGAACTACTGTTGTCAGAAGTTACAGAGTCTGTCACAAACTGTGTATCACAGTGTACTACATTTTCCAGCTCTCCTTCTTTCTCTTCAGTCACAGTTTCACTTTCCTGTACAGACTTTATATCTGAACCAGGAACACTACATCTTAGCTTTTCAAGGTCTTTTCCATGATGTTCACTTTTATCCTTACTACGTGAGGGTGCACAAAAGAAATCTTGTGGGGAAACTGAAATACTTTTTTCCTTATCTGAAGTCTGTTGCTTTTCAACTAACCTGCATGGTTTTCCTCCTTGGTCATTACCAGATGATGAACATTCCAGTTCATTTCCATCCTCATGATCCTTTTCTTCAGTACGCCCATGTGAAGACTGTTTCACAGTTCTGTAGTCCTGGTCTTTTTTCCCTTCGCTGCCAGCATTTGATGATTTAGTTTTTTCAGTTCTATTGTCTCGATCCTTATCTACTTCACACACAGTATCTGAAAACTTTTGTTTTTCTGCTCTGCAGCTATTATTATGCACCACGCCATCAATAAGTGAAACATTTGGTTCTTCAGTACTGTGGTTCTGATCTTTTTCTTCTCTGCTACAAGAATCTGAAGGCTTTTCAGTTTTGTTATGATCTCCTCTTTGTCCTTTGAAACCTTTTAAGAGCTGATCATTTTCTCCATGATCAACACATTCAGAAACTATAGATCTTTGTTTTTCCTTTTTGGAATCCTCCTTTTGCTTTTGGCAATAAGCATCAGAGGATTTCCCCCCCCTTTTTTGATCATCACCTTTTTCTCCTTGGATGTCAGTATTTGGAGATTGCTTTTTCCTTGGGCAATTGGGATCCTTTTCTCCCTGATCATCATTGCCCTGTAGTGCAATATTCAGAGGAGACACACTGGAAACAGTACTGTCCCTTTTTTCAATTGGGACATCACTAGATTCTGCTGAAACATCAATTTCATTTTGTACTTTTTTTGAAGACTGAATTTTGACAGCCTGCTCATTCTCCCCATTGGGTACTTCCATTACATCCACACATTCGGAATGAAGTTCCCAGGAGGGTTTCAGGCTTGTTTTCTGTCCACAGACTTCAGAGGATGTGTTCTTGCTTGGTTCCAGATTTGATGATATTAGATCTTGTGCTGGACATCTTCTCACAGTTGAAACCTCTGCAGAGTTTGTCGTTCCTTTATCGTGACCAGTATCCCCCGTTTCCCCCATCCTATTACCCTGATTCAAATCACTGGTGCTCTGAATGGCTACAGATGAAACCTCGCCATCTCCATCTTCAACACATTCATTACGTATCACCCCAAGCAACTCCAAATCAACTAGTGGAGGAGTGCTGTTACATACACCATTTTCTTTCGGTATTTTTTCAGCCTGGCCGTCAGTGTAATTAAATGCTTCACAGTTCTTTTGTTGCACTAAATTGGTATCAGACACATCACTACAAACAGGAGTCCTATTTAAAGCCCCCTGAGGCGCCTTACTCATAGGATCTGGACTACAAATGTTCCTACAGACTGCAATATTGTCACTGAGGTCTGTGCCAGTGCTCTGTCTTCTTGAAACAAATTTATCCTTGTATGCCTTCTTGAACTTTTCAAAAGCGGCACCCATTACTTCATTCTTCTTACATAGAAGCTTCTTACTGAAGCGATAAAATACACGTGAATTTGGGTGCTCACGTGAGATATGCCTTTTACAAGAAGCAGAATCTAAAAAATAACCCATGCAGTGTCTGCACTCCACAACCGTCAACAAAAGAGAGTCATCATAGTGTTGTTTTAGATCTCCTATTTCGTCAAAAGTCTGATCGCAGTATTTACACAATAGCTTGAATGATGTGTTCATACTAGATTCACCCATCATGTAACTGTTTACCATACTGAACAGAACATCCAGTCTTTGATGCCTCAAGTCCTTCACATCTCCTGAATCAAAAACCAAAGAGCAGGAGTACATGAACTTTGATTTCTCCTCGTCACAAATGTGTTCTTGCATATGGCTCAACAGCACACTGTCTCGACTTCCAATGTATCCGCAATAAACACATGGAAACTCAGATTCAAGCCCATGTGCCTGTGAAGTATGCAACAATAACTCCATAGGTTTATAGCTTGAAAAGGTACACTGAGAGAACCCACATTTGTAAAAACAAGACAATTCACTTTCACTTTCGACACTCTGGCTCTTCTCTGCATCACTGTTACAACGTCTATTCGCTGCTTTAGATGACACATTTGTAAGAGAATTAGACGTTTGCTCACTGCTCAGCTGAGGTATTAACCTTTCGTTTTCTGAAGAAACACAAGCAGGCTCTTTATTCCTTTCAAGGAGAAATTCATCAGCAGGTCTGGTGTCATCAATCAGAGCATTTCCCAAAGAAGCTTTCTGCAATGATGATTCATTTGACTGGGCTTGAGAGTTGTTTACATGACATGGGATTGTCTTTTTACTGCCATGCGGAAGGGCTGAAGAAGAGTAAATGGGCGAAGCAGAACATACGTTATTTTCAACCTGCTTCTCAGGCAATGAAGACTCACTTGCTTTTGGTACAGAATGGTTTGATGGGCACAGGTTCTCATTTGACGGTTCAGGGATGTCTGTGGTGACAGCGGTCTGAAGAGGCTCAACTTCCTTTTTAGCAACAGGGGTATCTTCCTTGTCTGAATCAGCTGTGACCCTAGAGATGTACTGCTTAACTTCATCTGGCATTTTTTCGAGAGAATTAGAGAAAATAACTCGCAAAGCTTCTTTTAAACTTGCACATGGATTTTTTTCAGGAAATTCATTGGAGCACTGGCAAGTCCCAGGATGTATGTGCTCCCACACATGTTTAATGAACAGTAATACCTGATGATCGGCCCACTTGATTTTGCAGGTCATACACAAGAAAACTCCCCGAAGTGCTCTCAGTGTGCTTTTCATATCTACTTTGTTGCTCTGACTCACTTTAGCACCCTGTCCTTCTTTCATAATTTGATCATAACCATAAGTATTGTCACATGCAGCTACTGAAGACTCAGTAGCACTGTTGACCAATTTCATTGACACCTTTCTACTGGTAACAGGACAATCTGCCGATCTGGACAAAGTGGACAATGAGGTAGAAACATTACCTTCTCTTGCAGATAAAGATCTCCTCAAGTCGGGTGCTTGTGACAGTGAACCATCATTCAAAGAAACTGATCGACAAACCCTGTGGGTATCACTTTTCATCCCTGCACTAGGTACCGGTGCCAGTACCCTTGGAAAACGAAGTTGAGCCCCAGCCATTTGCTGGTTTGCGTTAGGTTTCATCTGATGAGGTCTGAAAATGCTCCCACTCTGAGCAATTGATGTGGGGTTTGAGGGTTGTGCAGTCGAGAGGCGAGGTATAGTGGCTGAGGATGTGGTGGTCATGCTTGTAATTGAACACAAAGATGGTTTCGGGGATGCCACAATCAACGATCCTCCTGGAGTCACACCTGCAACAGAAGCAACAGGAACAGCCACTGAAACTATGATACATGGTACTCCCTGATTCACACTAGTTACTATTTCCTGGCTGCCTTGAGGTGGGCCTACCACTGATCTTGACTGGTTTATTGAAACAGAACACTGTCTTAGGGATCCATCTTGTGGAAGATCAGATTTGGACTTACATGAGTTGCCTTTTAAAGCTGAGAAAAAGTAGGTGTTCTTGGAATTACCTTTCGCTCCATATATCACATCCTTAGTTCTAGGGGACAGTTTCAAACAAACACGGAGCTCTTCACCAACGTGTTCTGTGCTTATGTGAGCATAGATCGCATCACGAGTCTCAAACTCACCAACACAATAATTGCACTTATATGGTTTTAACCACATATGACTCTGTAAATGCTCTATGAACTCCTGCTCGTTATATCCTTCTCGACACAGTGAACATGCAAACGTACCTTTAGCTCGGTTGTATTGAACGACAGCTGTGACTCGTGGGAGAGTTACAGATGTAACTCCTGCACTAGACCCTGGCTTTTCTCTACTAACTGCCAATGGCACTGTGTTCGAGGACGAAGCAGTATTTGCGACAACAGCTTCTGTACAAGGAGCTGTTCTGCTGACATGACTGGAAGATGAAACTTTTCGTTTGCTGATCCTGCAGTTGTGGAACTGTAGGAGCGTCTTGTCACTTGTTTTCAGGTGACATCGTTCACATGTCAGGATACCTAGAGCTTCCCAGTTGACTGCAGATGAGCCCTTTTCACTTGCCATCACAGAAAGACGTCCCAATCAGCTCATGGAAATACTTTGTCATCAGAGCGAGTGCCTTCGGACTAGCACACATACTTGGTAAATTCATCACCTGGGGATACAATGATGGATGGATGGAGGGATGAATGAATGCTTTTTTTTAATGAAATTCTAATCCACATGTCTGGATGTCAGTACCCATTTCCCTGCTCTATACTGAAGATTAAAATTTATTATTAATTTCCTATTAAATTAATACTGAATATTTCAACAATTCCTGGTGCTTTCTGCTACTAGAAGTCTACCACTTCTTCAATATAAGCAAAAAAATACCTTGCTTCTAGTTGCAGTGGGTGGATCAAAATGGTGGGGTTAGGAAATAGGCATGGGTTGAGTTCAAAGGCAAGATTTTTTTCGTTCAGAGGAAAGCCCAGTCCTTAAATGTCATGTGTACGAGTGTTTGTTTATGTGTGTGTGTGTGCAAGCGCATGTGTGCCCACATTTGGCATTTGGTGGCTCTGGGGACACGAGGCCCCATTTTTGTTGTGGCCAGACAGACAGTAAGCCATAATTGCGGCCAGCCAATGATATATACTATAACTTCTTTGCTTATAAAACTTCTATTAAAAAATCACATCACAGGCAACTGTCAGTTTCAATGAAAGATTTGTTAAACACTGACGCATATATGAAGCACGGTCCAAACGATGGGTGAGTACTTTTCGCGATGCCCGTGGTGGTATCTAGAGGTCGTTTGCCTACAGGCAGGAGAAAAGGGTCTTTATAATCAAACAATCACTACTTCCCATCCTTAATTTGGAAACTATCACCCATGACGTAGGCCATCATAAATATTTAATTAGACTTTCACGAAATCATCAGCGAGCACAACAGTCGAAACTTTAATTGCCACAGAAATACCCTGTTCACCCCTTGAAAATGCTTTTGCTATTTCAGTAACTTGGCTATTATGTGCCAAGGACCCTGTGGATGGAGAGTTTTTAAACTCAATACTCATCAGTCCTCAGGCCACCTCTCAGACCTTGAATCATGTAGTCCTGTGATTCCTCACAGCTTCATGGGCCCCTATTAACCTTTTGGTCATCAGGTTGATATCTGGTGACGTTAGATAGCTTGCCGACAGGCTGAAGTGGTGTAGTGCTTTTGAAGTTCCCCCAGGACACTTTAAAATTTAACTTAAATTTAAAACACATAAACACAAGTGTTTTCAAATAAAAAAACAAACGAGTGTTCATGATAACAAACATGAGGTTTTTATGGAGATAATTACAGGCATGAGCAATAATGTATAATTGCAATGTATGCGACTTTCTTAATCAAAAGTTGCTTGGTTTCAAATGAGAGGCATTTTCATTTTTCTGATGCCATACCAAGGAAAACCTGAACAATTCCAAGAAAATACACTGAACTGTACCATACACACTATACAAAAAAGGGCAAATTCGTTCAAATGCACGCCTGTGTCATCTATCATCTAATAACATACAGTGGAAAACTGAAATAACAGGGATGGTGGGACCAGAGAAAAAGTTCTGTTATATCAGATCCCTGTTACATCAGAATTGCAAGGAAAGTGAGCATTTGTGGACTAATCCAGTTACATTTGTTCATGGGTAGTCTCCCTTGCCACAGGTACCCACACCACAGCCCACTCCTGTGGCCATGTGGCAGGCCTGCGCATGGCACATTACCGTTACGCGTGCGTGTAGCTAGGCTGAGGGCTAGACCGAAATCTGCAGCACACCGCAGCTCCCACTCGCTTCACCCGCTGCGTGTGCTTGCAGTGGCGTGGCTTGCTCCATCCATCCTTACCCCCTCTCTCTCTCTCTCTCTCTCTCTCTCTCTCACTTTTTAAGACATTGTTGGGGGGGGGGGGGGGGGGGTCTACATCCCCAAAGTCCCGATTCGGCTCAAAATTATGGAATTTGAGTTGTAGGTATTTTTAGCTTAATCACCCTCTCCTACAACTATTTCATAGCATCAGAACCCCCAAAGACGTCAGCACTTCCCATACCGGGCATGTTTGCCAACACCATTTCCTCATAAAGTCAATATTTTATTTTTCTTTATCGGCCGTTTTCTCAAAACGCTACTTTTCTCTATACTTTTTTGAATAACTCCACCATTTTAAATCCAATCTTCATGAAATGTTCACAGAATGAAGAGAAGATGTAATACTAAACATTTGTCTGTTGAATTTTTGATATATATGGAATAGGTTTTTGTTGGTGGTGTCTTGAGTGTGGATTTTCACGGATTTTTTGCAAACTTGAACACTACATCAGGAAAAAATTCATTAAAAAAATTTCTAATTCGTTTAGGAAAAAAACAACAAACACATTTTTAGATTTAATGTTTGTGAACACGCATGCACAAAAAACAAACAAAAAAACCCAAACAATTAATTTCCATGAGCAGTACGTAAGATGTCAACAAAATCCAATATGGCCGTCGTATCCATGGTAACGAAACTTTTTTCTCAAATTTGATCGCGGATTTTAAGACTACTTACTAAGATTGTTATGTGTGTGAAATTTGGTAAAATTCGGTCCAGTAATAAGCGAGATAGCCTTCAGGTGTAGCGCCCCCCCCCCCCCAACGAGCCGGTGTCCCTCATATAGGCCTAGGCCTAACCGATTGGGCTCCGACGAGTCCCTCTTATTGCCGATAACTTTTAATAGAGACAAAGAGTAGGAAAAAAAACCGGGGATTTAAAAAATCCAGGTTATTACCGGACCCCTGTTATTACCGAGCCCGTTATAATAATAATATATGGAATCCACTGTGCACATGTATATATTAGTTTGCCGAATAATTTATGTTGCTGTTTAGAGATTAGCCTAAATGGCAACGTTTGATTCCAGCACAGTCCAGTGCGCAATTCATTACGTAGATGTCAAGACTACCATCATTGTAACTTTGATCAGTAGCCGGGGGAAAAAAACTGACGCATTTGTATCTTTACTACTGACGTTCCACGCCGGAATTCGTGTGCCCTCTGCCTTCCAGACACATGCACACCCAGTCACAAGTGTGCTAGCTGACAGTTGCCAGTCTGACCCTGGTACACGCTTAGAGATGTGGGTGTGCTAACGGCATTGTGGGTTTATATATATGTGTGTGTGTGCCCGGAGAAAGGTGCCAGTTGTCAGAGATTTTGGGTATTGAATTGAGGGCATATTCTGTAGCAACTTCCATGCTTAATACTCTGATTTTGAAAAATGTTCAAATATGTTGAGTAGTTTTATAGATAGATCTATGTCATGTTTTGTAACACAGGGTGTAAAACAAAGTTTGAAAAAAAAACCCCGGCTTTCACATAAGTATGTTGACCCAATCTCTAGCAAATTTTAACTTTTGATGAAGCTCAATACGTTCCAAAATTTATATATAAAAATATTTGGACTTTCAATTTTATTTTTTAAAATCCTTTCAAGATATAATATGTTATTACGAAATCGTTCAATGTGTGTTTTCTGATGATACTAAATTTTTGACCAGGGTCATACATTTTCGGCCTTTTCACCCCGTTACTCAAAAACAGCTTTGCCGACAACTGGGACCTTTCTCCAGGCACACACACATTTATTATGATGGCTTACTAGCGTCTGTGACGTATCAGTTTGATGCTTCCCCACTGCGTTCAGAAGGTCCAAGTTCGATTCCCATGGGGACGAGAATATAATTTTTTTTTATCGAGGAGAGCTATCTCTGCTGACTGCTGGGACGTTGTATGTATCTCTCATCTCGGGTCAACGCAGACTGGGAAGGTCGAACGAAGCCCCACCTTCTAAATGATATCTACTAAATTGTGTGATGCAGGCGTAGAATAGCAAGCACGTTTAACAATATTATTCTTCCGATAGTTAATGGGTATTTGACCCTGTCGTACGCCCTGGGGTCATTATGCACCCCCAGTGTTGTATTCTTCACATTTTAGAATATTTCTAGTACGAAAATCTCTTTGAAACTTTCTGTATTTCTCAAAAAATCATTTTGACAGACTGCTATGCTAAGCGTATGGATGGGGTTAACGAGTAAATTTCCTCTTTGGAAAGTGGTGGCACAGAGTTCCCCATGTCGTATGGATGCGATAGTAAAACACGACGCCCGGATAAGGTTAAGAAATAGTGCATGTACTTAAGTTGGAGGCAACGTATTCATGACAGAAACTTTCTTTTTCTGGATTTTTCTGGGGTGCATTGAGCCTGGACAGTCCCTTTGAATGCTTTAACAGTAACCTACCACTGTGTTGGTGTCCCATCGGCCTCGAATACTTCTCCTTCGTAATCGTAAAGTCTTTATGAAACCTTTCTTCGGATCGTGCTCATCATTAATACGCATTTAACCCTGTGCCAAGCAACCAAAGGGCGTGATGCCGGTTCCAAGAGTGGGAAGATATCTCATCGTGCGAGTATCTCAACATGTTGTTTGCTTTTTTTTTTTCTTTTTTTTTTTTGTTTGGTTCTTGTTGTTGTTATTGTTGTTGTTGTTTTGTTTTTTGTGGGTTTTTTTTTTTTTTTTTTTTGGGGGGGGGGGGGGGGGGGA